CTGCCAATCTAGAGCCATTGTCGAATGATCAAAAAGACGCGAAATGTTGGTTTATGTGGGTGAAAATAAATAGGAATGTTATAAGAACCTGTGCAAATTAAAAAGCTTGAAAGTTTAGGAAAGCTGACTGGATAACATTGCTTTTTTATGATCATTATATGAAACAAAACATAAAAATGTAAATGATATTTTTTACAGAGCCTCACAAGTATCAGTTGTGGGCCTACATTTATCAAGCACGTGATTTGCTTGCGATGGACGAAAGTGGAATGAATGGTAAAAATGCATTACGTTCCTGAAACATTTTCATCGCGGTGCCTGTTATTTACTAATGATTTTATATAGTTGACAGCTTGAATAATAACACACTATTATTGAATGCATGTGCTTTCCCCCGTTAGATGCCTATGCCCGTGTTGCATTTTGTAAGCAAAGTGCTGTGACAGCAGTGCTGACTCAGACTCTGTGTCCCACCTGGAATCAGACTGTGATTTTCGACGAGATTGAAATTTACGAGGGTGTCGAGAACGTGGCAAAGAACCCGCCAAGTGTGGTGGTAGAGTTGTTTGATCGAGACTCTGTGGTAAGATTTGTGTCTTCTTTTACATTTTTAGTCTCTTACGTTCCACAGTCCACTATATATGATAAAAAGTATTGCATGTTGTAAGATTGTTTTGCTTATTTCCCAAGAATAAGGACTAGTTAGTAGGTTTCAATTAATTCTAAAAAACAAAGCAAGAGAATAATTAATGAAGGTTTAGGGAGGACTCGTAATTAAAATGTCAGAAGTTTTAACTTGTACCAAAAAGAGTCTTTAAAAAACATTTTATGAGTTCCTTCCCAAAAACCTATAGACAATACAAAAATAGATTGCTATAACCCCGACGCAATCCTACCGATTTTGGTAGTTTAGATACATTTGTTTCCCTATTTTGTTAACTCCCATAATTCAATGTAACTCTTATCCCGTTTAATGAGACTTAATTAGTAAGTCTCCCTTATTATTATCTAACTGCAGCGAATACCGTCCAAATAACAGTACAAATATACAGCGATATTGTACAGTTATTTGTATCAGTAGAAAACCTGCTTGCCATACTGGTCGGCGCCCGCCCGCAAAACTGTCACACTCTCCCTCTTTCACTGCTAAATTTATTGACTACAGTAGTTGGATAATAAATCTCTTATTAGATGTTTTGGTGTGTAGTATCGCTTTATATTTTTACTGGTTGTTTGTATTTTGACTCGCCCTACGGGCTCGTCAAAATACGGCACAACTCGAAAAAATATACAACGATACTGCAAACGAAACCATCTAATAACATATATATATATATATTGGTACTGCACGTACATACGATGATTGATTGAGAGAATTCAACCACATGATATGTTTGGTCCGCTGATCACAATGGAAAAAAAAAAAAGAAAAAAGAATTCCTTTTCACTTAGACAGGGAAAATAATCGAATCTAAAGAGGTAGTTTATGTGTCTTGTAGTATATGTTGAGGGAAAGCAATCAGATGTTTCATTTTATAACAGGGTAAAGACGGATTTCTTGATCGCTGCGTGATATCGCCCATGGTAAGGCTAGAAGGACACCAGACTCCTGAACCACGACTGCAGTGGCACAAGATCAGAAAAGGAGAAGAGGAAGGGGGCGAGCTATTAGCTGCTTGTGAACTGTTCCTTGTGCGTCCGTCATATTTGGGTTTTATATATATTCTTAACGCATTCACTGTACTCTTCTTCAATGTATTTTTGGTTTAATTTACATCCAGCAGTTGAGTGGGTAACACTGATCCAAAATCATTTTACTGTACATCTTAGTCTTTTGTTCCCCGCTTAACTTCCTCGTCTCTTGCTCCAATGTTAATTGAAGAGATGTAATATAGATGACGATTGTGTCATTCATGTACTGTACTTTCAGGACGAAGGTGCAGAGTTACCATTCACTCCACCCATGAGAGGAGTTTTGTACGCCGTGCGAAGTGGTGTGCGCCCAAAGTTACAACGCTCGGCTATCGAGGTTGGCTTTATTTCCCTTCAATTTTTTTTTCTTTAGTTTTAATTTCTTTTTAATCGCTGATGAATCCAGATAAAAGAAAATCATTTTCTCCTCGCTTTCTTTTGTTTAAGTCGCTAATAACATTATTTATTTCGCTCTGGGAAAACATTTACATCTACTGCACGAAGTGGCACAAATTTCAAACGTTCCCCTTTGTGTTGTTAGCTAGCAAGCTTCCCTGTGCTTCGGGAGGAAAGTTATAGCAGAGTTCCGGCGGCCCCAAGGGCCGCTAAGCGGAGCCCCATAACTATAGGAACAGAACCCCATGCACGCAATCCCATGCATGCAACAATATTCCTTATGTGCACAAAAGGAGTGTTTATGCAGACCTGAGAAGTCGCATAACTTTGCAAAAAAGTTTAAACTAATAATAAGCACAAGGAGAGGATCTTACTCCGGAGATCACAAAAAGGTACTGTATAATTCTCATGCGTCTCACAGCATTCCAGCTTCAAGTCATTATTCAAGCAGGGTTTTATCGAGATTCTATTTCAAATAGGCCCTTCGCACGATTCGGTCACATGGTACAAAATCACACATGCTGGTGAGCAAGTTGCACAGTGGGACTTCCAAAACAATGCCACTCGTACCAGTCCACCTGGACCTGCCTTTGTTTTGGAAGTCCCACTGCGGAACTTGCCCACCAGCATGTGTGATTTTGTACCATGTGACCGGATCGTGCAAAGGGCCTATTGTCAACAACATTCTTTCGTAACTCATTTCTGACAAATGTGATAACCATGGTAACACCCACAATCACTAAATCCTGGGAAATCATCAACACCCAAAATCACAGCAAACACATCATTTACCGATATTTCCCTTTTTCAAATACAAGCAACAAATTCATACACGATGTTCTTTATCAATCATTTGTTTGCCTACACGGCATCTTTTAGGGTCGTCTCAGAACCACCTCTACATAGCAGTGTTCAATGTTTCTTTGTAGTTTTCTGTGTCCTTCAAAACTCCTCGACAGTTTTCTCCGGAACGATTTCTCACTCCTTGTAAAGTAACTTGCTCGCGTTTCGCCGTTATGTTGTCCGGTGTTTTCGTGCAAGGGCATAAAATGTTTCGTAATCCACGGCGATAACTCTCAACAAACGACAAACAAATTATTGGATTGACCATAGAAGACGAACAAAACACAACACTCGCTAGAGTTAAAAACAGTTTTTGAGAGACACAAGACAAACTCCTGTATGCAGCGAAATATGACAACGTCGATGGAATAACGCAAATGTAAAATAGCACTATAATGATAACAGCCATTCGAATAGCTTGTCTTCGTTTCTTTTCAGAATGCCTTTGTAGATTTTGTGCGGCGTCATTAAGGGCTTTATTCTGTCTTTTTAAC